TGAAAATATGTGAAGCCTTTCCTGAAAAGAGGAGTGAAGATTTTCACCATGTTGATCGTTGTGCAAAAAGTAAAGATGAATGATACAGTTTTATACTTTCCCAGACAGTGAAAGTGAGAAGGTTGATACTGTAGCAAGTGGCATGTGTAGTCCAGTGTCTCTGCTTCTGTACAAAACTTGTGAGTTTGAATCGCAGCTATTGCTGCTCAGCTAACATGTGCACTACTGAAACCATTCGCAGTCCTTAAGCCATGAACACTTTTCATTATGCTTGTCAAAAACAATTCCATCCATACACTGAATATGAGCCTGTCTTGTCTGTCATGACCAGCTGAAGAGTAGCTCATCTGAGTTCAATTGAGCAAATCTGGTTTGATTACACTTCATAAGCCAGTTCTGATCTGTGCCTTTCAGTGGAGGTTCTTCACTATGAAGCATGAGGTGTTTGATGTGAGCAGCAGACTGGAGCATGTCTACACCAGGCTGGACCCTGTAGGACTGGAGAACCTGGTCACTGAGGTGAGGGTCCATCCCAGGCATTACCATTCATACTACATGTATTATGGAAGATTATGTTGTGGTTGTAGCATTAAGGTCATATTGAAGGGTGCCTGAGGACTTTTTGGAAATACTAATATAGAAAAAAAACTCTATCTGACATGGTAGACTTTTTGGTCTATTTTTATAATCTATAACATATTTTTTGCCAGGGCCACATTTTGACCGCGAAATTGAACGACAAAGTTCGCAATTTTTACGCGCCATCTACCATCCGGGCTCCCATATATGGAGTGCTCTTCCAAATATGGAGTGCTCTTCCAAATAATGTGCACACCCCCGGCCCCACTGAAGCGAAAGCACGATTCCGCTGGGCCACTTGAAGCAAGGAATGTGAACTGTCACAGTGTGTGTGAGCTTCACTTTGCCATTGGGAAAGGAAAAGACAATTTTCCTGATACTTAGAGCGTTTGTAAATACAGTACATCATGTTATTTGTAGACCGCTAAGTAACCAAAATCTGCCAACTGCAAAGAATTTACGAAAACCTGCCATGCCGGCTATATATATATTTATCAAGTCGGAACACATATTCAACTGGAAATATACCACAGAAATCACCAAGAAAAAGGCATGGATTACGCCAACAACTTCCTATGAAAAAACATTTGACTGCCAAAAGGAACGTTTGAGTTTGTTTCGACTGCAAAATGTTTGTAAATATAATTTCTACCGGTAGTAACTGTTATATGCAGTTGTCGGAAGAAGATACTAGTACTTGAACAAACATGACACAAGAACTGATTTCCAATCTGCAACGTTCTTTTTTTATTTAACGAAATACAATACAAACAAACTTCAAGCTATCTTAGAGCGGAATGCATACACAATCTTACTGTAACGACGAACATATCTTTACGGTTTACAGCGGTGGCAGCTTATAACGGATCGTCCATATTTTGCAGATAAAACTCCGTACGTAAAAAAAATACATATACTGTAAGCACACGTCTACTAGGACAACGTTCAACAGAAATTCACATAATCAACAAAATTATATTCGCTAGTAATCTCATACCACGTACGGGCAGGCTTTTCTCCAGGGCTATCTACTCCGGTAACTCCATGTTTTCAGTCTTTTTTCCGAGTATGTTGCTTTCCGTAACACAACAAAGAACTTCGGGGGTAGGCATCAAAAACAAGTCCGTAACTCCATAAAACGCGGACGGTTTTTCTCCAGAAAGGTCTCAGAATAGTCCATGAAAGTCCACCTGCAAAACTACGTAGGGTATAGCCGTTTAAAAGATTGTCTAGCGGCCCAAATGTTGCCGCAAACCGCACAGCGTCCTTCGCGGCATCCACGTCGTCGTCCGCCATTTTGGTTTGGTCACGTGACTCCCCCACGCTTTAAGAATGGGGATGCTTGGGCTGTTCTTTTACTGGACATATCCCCGGCCTGTTTTCTAAATCGCGGCTCAGAATGGTAAATACAGCGTGCTGAAGGGTCAATGACCCGCATTTTACCGGAAGTCATCGGGGCCTTTGGAATGCGGACCAGAACCTGGCGATTTCGGCTCTTTTGGCTCCAAAATGGACATTTATGTAACCCATACAGCATATACAGCATTTTAGATCAAAACTGTGGCAAACTGCTAATGAAAAGGGACCAAAAATTGTTTATTTTAAACATAAGCTTCTAAACTAAAAAACGTACGTCAGGTCCGACACGCTGCGCCGCTTTATGTGCTGGGGAGGGCCGCTGGCGTATTGGCAACTGTTAAAATTTACGAAAAAATTCATTAAAATCAACATTTGAAGATAGAAAAAAATCCTGACGTACGTTTTTTGCTATCACTATAGTGCGCCTCTCTACAAAATATGGTCAATGAAAACCAAAGCACTGGCCAGGAAAATTGATTTTTCTAAAAAGGGGGCGTGGCTCATAACTCCAGATTACGTCATCGTGACGTCATAAAAATTTGCATAAATTATTGTCTTGCAAAAAGGTACTTATATGAAAAATTTCAATGACCAAAAGTAATTCTAACTAGTATTTTAAGATGTCCCAAAAGTCCTCAGGCACCATTAAACACTACCTTAAGGGCCTGGTCACATTCCTCAGATATTTGCAAACTGAGGGCATTCCCAGGATAGTCATGCATTTGTCTTACAAAATCCAGTCATGTATAGGTGAATGTTAGTAATAGTAATGTTGTTGAATTTTGCTTTCTACCTATTCACAGCAACTGTCCCAGTTTGAACAGCAGTGGACTTCATTGATCAAGACTATTGACGTTGAAAGGTAGGCGATGATGTTTGATATGAACCAATGCCATCAATATGCTGACTTAATAAGTGAAAAAACACAGCACTTTTGTCAGTGTATTTATCAGATATTGTAATGTAAATCTTGAAAGTTTCACAATGGTTTTATTTCCATGTGAAATCTTCCTGTCCCACAGCCCTGCCCAGAGAGCAGTCTTGACAGAGAGCAAAGTTGGAGAGGTACAGTTCATTCACTTCTTGATGCTCTACTTTGCTTTAAGATATGAGATAATCAGAAAAAAAAGCAGGCCTTATTAAAGTATGCCTATTTTCAATGCATCTTTAAAGACAATGCAAGCCTTCCAAATGAAACATCCGCCAATATTTCCTAACCAGCCATTGCAGAGTTACTATGCCCACGGCATGCAAGCAGGTGGCACTGGAGGGCGGAGGCAGGCCTTTGTGCTGTTTGGGACTCGTACAGGTGGAGCAGGTGGACAGGGTGGTGATGGGGTCATCGGCAAGGCAGGCATCAGGGGAGGGCCGTCTCTACACATGGTAGGGAACTAGTGCTGCGTAATCAAGCATAACATCAGGTACAGGTACTTGCACAGGTACAGGTTCAGAGCCAGTACAGAGGTTAAGATTCAGGTCCAGACCTGTATGATGAACAAATTGACAATTTGTCCCTGTGCTTTTCAATGATAACAGAAACGTTTAATAGTTAACAGAATCTTAAGATATCTTAAGAATCTTAAGACATCTTATATAGAGAATCTGTGTTTTCAAGAGGAATTTAATCATCACCCATACAACATTTTCCAGTGCTCAATTTTCTGTTGTCTCATTCCACTCCATGTAGGCTTGCCAGGCCATCTCTCCTCGTGGTCCCCTCAGCTGTGCCAGAACCTACTTCTTCAGTAGTGGACATGTCCCATACCCAGGTACCTGCTGTCAATCTTCACCCACAATACTCCTATCTACATTTCATGGGAGTTAAGGGTTTACTGGCATTTCTAGGTTTGTTTTCATTGACCAAGCATACAATGTATAAGACAATTGGAATGGATAGGAAGAGAAAGTAGGGAGTAATAACATGAACATGCACATGAACACTCTTCATGATCTTTCCTCTAGATCTGTACTTTGTTTTTCCAATGTTTATGCAGTGTCAGAAGAAGCTGGCATACCCAAGACTGAGGAGAAGAACATGGATCTCAGGTAAGGTCTTGAGTAATAGGCTCTTTTACTCACGCAATTGTTTTTATTATTGGTTGCTTCTCTTAATCATAAGTCTACAGTTTGAAAAGTACAAACTTCATTTCATTGTCTTTTTTCTTATGAGGATGATAGAAAATTTTGAGAACCATGTAGTACTACCATTTTTCTTGCTTGTCTGTCCTCTGAATTTACCTGTTTCTGGGTAAAAATCTAACAACTCAAATTGATATTGTATCAGGAGGATGTTGAAAACACTTCTTTCAGCTTATCTATGGAGCATAATCGGCTACATGTAGGTGTTGAGGGCTGAAGTAGATTTCATGTTGTGTAATTCTGCAGGTTGCTGTCCACCATGTACCTGGTAGCAGTGGATGCTGTTCTGGCTGCCATTGACCAGTACAGCAAGACTCTCAGTGTTGGAGCTGTGAGTTTGTTTGGACTTGGCCCTTCACCTGACTAATGTCTAAATACCATACCTTTTATACAGAATTACCTGTACAAGGAATGCTCTTGCTTACAGATAAAGATAGATTGAAGATTGTAGTCTTATGCTTTTCCTGTCTTGGTCCTTGATAGCCCTGTTATTCTTTTATGTTACATTTCTGCATTCAATATTTATATGCATGTATCTATGTGGAGATGAAATTCTTTGTCGAAATGTTCCTGAGCAGCCATCGTAACCCCAGCTTTTCCTATTGGGTCAGCATTAGTTGTGGCAAGCTTGTCTGAAGCATTGATGTTTCTGACTTAGGGAGAAGAGTCACTCTTCCAGTAAACCAAATTTACTTCAGTACCTAGAAGTGATCTCTTGGCCTTGTACTGAACAAATTTATTTTCAAAAAATACTAGTGGCCATGGAAGAAATACTGATGAGCCATAGATTCAACCTGTTGACTGTAGGAGCCTTGCAGATTTGTCTTCATTCGTGCTGGTACTACTGCATATTAATTTCAGAACATCTAAAACTTCCCTCCACAGGCAAGGAAGACAGTCTTAGATGTGCTGAAAGATGCGGTAGACCGGCATCAGCTGCCTCTCGGGAGTGCCTTTGCCTCATCCAAGTGAGTGAAAGTCTTGAGTAATGACAACACAGATAACCTGTTACATAGTTGAATTTGATTCAAGCTCCACTCTGTGGGCCAGTGTTGCCTTTGTGTGTACCTATAGAGTTGAGATTGTGGTAGCTAGAACCCAGATCAGAGTGCCCAAATACAGACTGCCAGAATCATTGTGACAATGTCAGATAAGATATACCACACAGACAAGTAGGTCTTGGATGTGTCGACACTGGACCTAAGTTCTCCAGAATTTGACCAACATGATTCCTTCTCATGATCATTCATTCCTTGCAGAACGTTACTATTCATTAATATGGACCTGTTTCAAGCAAAAAGAATGTTTATTTGATGCCTTTCCAAATTGCTAAACCCTTGAGTTAGTAGACATAGTGACTTGTTGTCTCATTTTTTCTTAAAGATACACTACTGTCAGATAGATGATCTTTACCTTACTCTCACTCTCTCTACAGGAACCCAATTGATTTCACAATTGAGGAGGCAGACATGCATGGGCAGTAAGTTGTTTTTCATGATGGTTGTTTTCAAAGTTTTGTATAATTGAACTAGAAGGAATGTTTGATACAGACCTTATTGATAGCGTTGATTGGACTAAGTTTGATAAATGTTTTCTAGTAAACAATGGGATGCAATTAAGTTGATGGGAATAAACACTGTACCTGATCCTGGGCAATGGAGCGTAATCTTTTAGTGACTGATGCCTCGCCTCTCTTGCAGTTCCCAAACAGCTGAGCAGGGGGCGCCGTCTCACCTTGTTAAAACTGTAAGTCTTTTGGAATATAAGAATGTGCTGTTTGGTCTTCACTTTTCACAGCTTTTCCATAGGGATGTTCCAAGTAGTAGCCATTAATTTCTGATCATGGAACTTTTGGCCCATTATTGTTCTATCAATTGAAACAGGGGCGAGTGGAAACACGAAAACCCCTATCTCCCAGGAATCGAACCCAGGCCGCCAGCTCGAGAAAACCTTGGCTAATTGGACCCATTGGACTAGGTCTGATTAGTGGTGCTTGAGCCCCATTGTTACACTATGCTAAGTAAAAGAAATGTGTGTACAAAGTAATGCCAGAGGTGTTGGTCAGGTGGCATCCTGATCAGTTTTAACTGTCAACAGTTCTGAATGCTCTTCGTCTATGTACACCCCAGGCATTCCTGTCCTTCAACGACATTCCCAGTGTGGAACACACAGGACAGTCCCTGGGGTCTGTCACCTTTGCTGAGTCCTTCCTGGTGTCCAGCCTTACTGTCATCAACCATGGTAGGCACTGAGGATGATGATGATGATGGTGTTGGTAATGATAGTGTTGATGATGATGGTGATGATAATGAACCTCTTGGTTCAAAAGGATGAAGGGATAATCTTTATACAGTTTACTAACAGTCTCTTTGTCACTGCCAAATTGTATGACATTCAAATGTATAGGCAATGACATCCATAACTGTACAAAATACTTTTGAAGTCAGAAATTAAGTTCTAACTACCAGGTACTTTTAGCTATGATTCATGAAAAAGTTACCAAAACACCATGGCAAAAGTCGTAGCTAAAGACATAAGAAATTTGAAAGTTGAATCTGTATATTATCGTTGAAATCTAAAAACTAACTAATTAAAGTTGGTTATTGATAGTTTGAGATGCTCCATTGTATATTTCCAGATGGTTCAAAAACAGTTGACAGCTGCTACACAGTGCTGACAGCCCATATCCCTCGTTATACCACCTGGATGGTGAGTCAATCCTTCTAGATGCTGTCAGTTCGTTTCATTTATTTTTGCTGGAGAATTGATTTGTAAGAGGAAAGGAGGTTTTCAAGATATACGTTATCATATAAGTTAGTGTAATAGATAATTGAAACCATGAGATGGTGTGGTATCTTATTCATTGTGCTTACTTTGTACATTTTCATTATGTCTTATCTGAAATGTAAAAATGGAAATATCTGAAATGCCTTCTCTTTTGTTCAGACCACTCAAGTGGAGACTGAGAGGTCTGACGCCGTAGTGACTTTAGTGAAGGTAAGTTGTATTGTCAGTTTTATTGACCACTATTGTTAATAACAAGGGAGAAATGAAAATGACAAGCCAGTGACGAATACTAGTAGTCATTGTTGCCTAACAAAAGACAACAAAAATGTGTTTTAGACTAGGCACAACAAAGCCACAATCAAACCTTTAAAGGGGAGAAATGAAAGAGTTAAGAGGCTTCATACATTTGCCAAATGATACAGTGGAATGCCCCATTTCTCATGCAAATTAGTTACAAATTTGCACATTCCTTTAGTATGATTTCAATGATGAACATACCGGTGGATACCTAAAATGCTCTTGCAGTTTCTATTGTAACAAGCTTATGACAAATGTGGTCACACTTAAGTGGAATTGATGAAGTTCTAGAGTTCCAATGTTGTTGTTTTTTCCAGACTCCATCTGTGGAAGTCCTGGGGGAAACCTCTCCTCCAGGGGGAGCAGGTCCAGCTGGTGGTGGCAACAAAATACTGCTTCTCCCAAGAAGGTGGGTTTGTTTGTTTGTTTGCTTGCTTTTGCATACTCGGCAAATTGCCTTTAGTGGTAACATACCAGTTTGTACAATAAGACTGGACTGTAACATACTGGAATAGACCAGGTTCTAACAGGAGCATTAACAAGTGTTCTGTTACCTTCCCCATACCAGGCCAGCTACACATTTTTGACAGAGGTTTGGTGTTCCTTCAGCCACACTGGGGCGCCCTCATCCTGCCCAGAACGGAACTGCAGAGCATTCTCTTCTATGATGGGGTAAGACTTAAACAACAACTAGAGTTCCCCGATCTCATACCTTCGCCAAATGATGTTAATCTTTATGACTGACAAATTATAGATTAGATTATTCCCCCCTGATTTAAGAAATAGGAACCTAATTTTCATGAATTATATCATTTTATCATAATCTCAACCAAAAGACAGTCTTATATTAACAAACAATGCATTCTAGCATTTCCTAATAAATTATGCAAATGAGGTCCTGATTTGAATAAATTATGTTTAATGATGTTCACCTCAACTAAACTTTCAAATACCACAAGTATGAAATTCCAGGCAGTTATCATTACATAATTATAAAACCTTCTCATTAATTATGCAAATTAAGTCATTATTAACATAATCAATATCTTCCTGTGTTTCTCTCGTTGTCAATTACCAATGTCACAAGCTTCAATTGTCCTATCATGGAATGCAGCTGATTTATAGAATTTCCCCATAAATTAGGTAAATTACTTCCATATTTGCATAAGTGTCACATAATTATATTAAACATCACGTAAGCTAGCTACATACCAAAAATCATGACGATCCGTCAAACGGTTCTTGAGTTATCCCCTTTTGAATAATTTCAAGATATATCCCTGCAGTTCCAGAGCAAGCCGATAGGGGGCCCAAGCTCACGTCACTTCTTCCCCAGCACGATAGCTACCTACCATCCAAATTTCATCACCATAGCATGTCTAGACCATGAGATATCAAAACTGGAAGTTCAGCTGCAGTACCATAACAAGCCGCTAGGGGGCCCAAAATCTAATCATTTTGAGGTCTCATCAAGACCTACCCACCTACCAAGTATCAAAATAATCCATCAAGGCCTTCTCAAGTTATCGAGACAGACAGACAGACACACACACACACACACACACACACACACACACATACACGAACGCCCCTGAAAACATAACCTTCTTGGCGAAGGTAAAAATACTGATTTTGTCAATGGAATGTACCTGGTACTTACAGCATACTGAAAGTTTCCTCTCATTTTGATGTCTAGGTTTGTGGTAGACATTCAAATTACAACTGTTATTTTTTATGCTGATTTACTTAAACACTGAATTTGTCACTGACAAGACTAGTGCCTTAAAGTTCATTTTTGAACTTGGTTAATGTAGTGCAGTTTCATTGGTTGGTCAACTAATGTGTGGATATTACTTTTTAAGGGCAGGATGATGCTTCTATAACCTCTTAGATAAATATCCTGATTCCTTGCTTGACATGTACAGTAATCCTTTCCCCCTGTGCCTAGGACTCCCGTACAGTTGTGGCCATGCTGGTCCTGACCTACAGACCAGACATGCTGGGTTTCCTGCCTGCCCAGGTCCAGAACCCTGACAACAGGCTTGTCATCGTCTTCAACCCCAGCACTCGGGCTTATAAGACATTCATGACAGAGGTACGGGAGTGGGCACTTCTTTCACTGTAGAATTTAGGACTCTATCTGGGGCCAACGAGCTGCTACATAATAAGCATGACCAGAGGAAGAATCATACATTTATCACTAAATAAATATCAGTAACAATCATAAACATAGTTGTAAGTTTGAGATTTTACGGAAGACAGAACTTAAAACATTGCATGGTTGAAGCCATAGCATTTTCTACTTCTTCAGTGGACAAGTCATTGTTTTGTACAATGTAACAGAATTATCAGAAGATGTGAACTTGTATAGTGACCAGAAGTGCTTGTTGTCCTATCTGTAGGTGCTGTCAGCTTGGCAGGAGAAGGAAGAGATGGGACAGGCCCACCTACAGACAGTTAAGGAGCTACCTGCTGACCTGGCCTCTCTGTAAGTAGCTACATTCTCTATTTACCTTGTATTTCACACGATTCTGCCTGTATCCCACGGGCTTGCATGATTGATTGATGAGAATGATTCAAATTTGTTTCTTCTGTGAAGAGATTGTGTTAATTTTGCAGGCACTCCCAGCTGCAGAAACGACTGGAGATGATGTTGACCCAACCCTCCTCTCTCAAGAAGGCCATGGTCAACCTGCCTGATCTGGAAAGGTATGACACCATAAGATGAAAACAAGCATTCTTAAATATGTCAAGCACAGTGTAGCCATGCCATGGTAGGAAAACTGTTTTCCAGAGATGCAAAAAAATAGTTAAAGGCTATGTTGAAACTGCCTTCCTATCCTTTATTTCCAGCTTTTAACAAATGTCAGAACTTTGGGTTTCGGTTGATGGACAGTGTTGTGGTCCAGCATGCAATATAATAACAATAGGTGGTAGGATGTAGTATGAGGTCAACAGGATGGACTGTGTACTGTGTAATCATGATGGTATCAAACATGAGCCATAACATATTAATCCATTCTATGTGATGTTATTCAGTTGGGTATTCCCCCATGATCATAGAATACAGTTCCACTACATTCACAAAACCCAAAAAAATCTCTCTGGAAGTCTGAGATCTCTGATTTCCTGTTGTCCTGTTGTGTAGATTCCTGCCCCACTCCTCAGCCAGCAGTCTCCTGCAGACCTCCATCCCTGCCGCTGACCTGGAGGTTCTGTTGGACCCGGCAGGGGACGAACCTATGGACCTGGAGCCCAACATGGAGGAGGTACTGGCAACCATTTACTTCTACCGATTCACCAGACTTAATTTCACAATAGAAGGGGAAAAGAGGTTTTCCCATGGCCAGCGTTTTCAGTTCGCACTTGGAACAATTATGTAGTGCAATTCTGTAACTCAAAGTAACAAAAATATAACCAAGGTATGTGTGACATAGAAACATCTGACTACATAAAGTATATTGGGTATCTACATGTACTGCCTAGATGTCAGACTCTCTAACTTTGTAGTCTTGTGAAGGGATGAGTCAAGTTCTGCACATACAGTGCACATGTACATGTACGTGTAATGTTGAAAACTTAATGTGAAGCTGACTTTCCCCCCAGATCATTGTGACCATCCTTACTGGGATCCCAGGTAGTCACAAGGACAATCTGTGCACAAGTCTTGTCAACATCAACAAGGAGCATGGCAGGTAATATTTACAGTTTCCGAATATGATCAATCATCCCCAGGGGATGTCTGCAGAAGTCATAAGGAAATTCGGTTGCAACACTTTAACCAATAGATGTAGTCTTGAGATGATGGCAATAATAGTGTCTGTTACCTGGACTTCAAGAATGTGGTTTAAAAACTGTTTGATTTCTTTGTGTCATGTTGCCTGTCGACTTACACACGTATGTGTACTCGTTAACGAAAACCCCTTGTTGACCAGACGAATAATGTTAACAGACAAACACTGTCTTATACACATATATGCTTGATTGGCCTGGACTGCACCACTACCAGAAAGACATGGAGTCTGGACAGTTAAGATGCTAAATACAGAGGCCTGCTACAGTTGATTTAGAAATCTTTTTCCATTCCTGTTAGATGGGTGGTGTTGAGACAGCCCATTGAGATTACGGAGGGGTTTGATGCAGACAGCCTCCAGGCCTCGCTCAGTGCAGCAGTCAAGGCACAGAGGAAACGGGCGGCCAAGGCCTCGACTGTGGGGAAGAAGAAGATGAGAGCTGTCATTGTCACTCCAGGGTAGGGAGAACTAATGAAATGTTAGATTTTATTGTAACAGATCATTAAGCAGCCTTCAATATTTTCTTCACACTTACAACCAGGCTTGATGTCTGAGAAACTGTTGGCCGCAGAGTGAAATTAATATTTTTCTTCTTTCTTGCACTCCTGCCAGGTTTACAGACGTGCTGGATGTGGTGATGGCAGTTTTGTGCCACCCTGACCCGGAGGTGCGCAGCAGACTGAAGGTTGGAGCAGTCACTGCCTGTGTGGACCCCATGAACACTTTCTTGGAGGACAGGTAGCAATGGGCATTATGTCTGGGACAGAAGTGTGTTGTTTTGGGTGGCGCTGGTTTAGGGGGAGTTTGTATGTATCTCGTCCTCAGCAGCAAGGATTGGAAGTGATGGGCAGAGATTCAGTTAATTGACAGGGTTGTGACCTGGTATGCCATGGCTGGTAGGATGTGGTATGGGTCACCAAGAATAAACAAACAAACCATGTACTGCATTGAGTTAGGTCATACAATTGTATCAGTAATCAGGAAGTCTGAAATATCCAATTTCTCGTTTCTTTCTTCATTGATTTGTTTGTGCTGTCTGTATTCATTATTTATAAAACTGCATCAGATATAGTCTAAGATTCTACATACATGTAAGTCAATGTCATTCTACAACTCTTTCAGGTTTCTCTTCCCCAAAGTGCTGGATCAGTGTGCTCCAGGTGAGATCAACAATTCATCCAGGACTGTTAAACATTTTGATACTACTACCAACTCTACAACAAATACAATGTCAACATGGTCAATATTTACATCTAGTAGTCTAGTTTGATTCATACTCATCGTAGCTGTCAACCTGCATTAATTATATTGATTAGACTAACAGAAGAACAGAAAGGCATTATCCTTTCACTATTTTTGTCTCTCTCTCCCTCTCTCTATGTATATAGGTTGGGTCAACAACATAGTCTTCACCAGTTGCACAGAAGCACAGGTTAGTCTAGTTTGCAAAGTTTTTTCCTCTACCTTCGAACTATATGTATGAAGGATCTTGTGACTCACTGACAGTGTTCGAAATTTGCGGTGGTGTCAGTTTTGTTTCCCTTGTTGCTACTTTATAGAACTTAGATCCTAGTCCATGACCTTGACTTTCCATCCCAGAACCCCCAGCTGGAGGTCACACAGCATCTGGTCCGAGCTGTCAACCCTGACGCTGCCTTTGTCCTGGCTGAAAGGGGAGAGGTTACAAGGTACAGCGTTGGTTGTCATCAGATAAGGGTTTGAGAGTATGGTTAATTTTCATGGATATGCAACATTTTCACCTCAGATGCATTTAGTGAGTGTCAGGGTGAATCATGATAGATACTTAATCAGCCTATGGCACTTACCTTAGATGGTACATGTAGATCTTCCCACAACTTTGTTGCATAGATCGACGGTGGCAGACATTTTCTCTCCAAAGGTTGTTGTTTGCCTGTGACACTGCTTTGCCTAAATCAGACGTGGTTAACTTCAACTCACCCCATCAATTGTAACCACTGTGATGTGTGTTTCCAGGTCAGAAGATGTAGAGCTGATCCTGTCTGAGACCATGTTCAGTCAGCCCAAGATGGCCCAGCTCAGGCACCTCGGAACACCGGGATGGTAAGTACCTGCAAATGGAAAAGGAACAGATGGATATCTAACTTACAGTTGTCAAATTTTGCTTCTGCCAAAGATGTGATACTATATACAGTGTTTTTTACCCTTGTGCAGGTCCCAAGGCCGGGTGCAGTCTTCCCCACCCTCCCCCAGCATGCAGGACATCTGTATCTACTTCTCACTACCCCTGGACAGAATCAAGTTCCAGGCCAAGTGTAAAGGTCAGGGACACCTTGACTCTGTCTGACAGTGCATTGAAATGAAAATCATGTGAATTTTTAAAAAAATTTTCTTAAAAGAAATCAGGCCACAGGATATTTTTACCATTCAAGTTAATTAGTATATATGAAATTTAGCAAGGGACACGGCTGCCTTATGGTACATGTGTTCCATATTTTGGTTATATCTAACCTTAGTCTACTTTTGTATGTACTTGTACCATCTTACTCTTACCATCTTGTTGTTACAAATTAGCTATTCATAACAGACCATGAGTCTGTAAGTGGGTGACTGAGAAAAGAGAACACACATGCAAGGTGAAGTGTAACTGTTTGTATCTTCTTGTACTGTAGCCCTGAAGTCAGCTCTATCTCCATACCCGTTCCACGGCAACGTGTACTGCACCAAGGGGCATGTCAAGTTCCTGGACTCCCCCAAGCTGTATGAAGTCCTCCACGTTACCCAGAGCGGCTACCTGACCATGGTTGCCTCGGAGACAGAGCATGACACTGCAGATGGAGACTTCTGCGTGGTGTTCACTGGCTGTGGGCTGCAGGAGGAGGTACTGAAGACCTGGCTCAGGGCTTGCACCAGACAGGTACACATCTTTGTAACAAATTCATCCTTCTTCCAACACAACACATCTCAGTGTATTCTTAATCACATCAATTGCCTTCTTTAGTGTAGAATCATCTTAACGCAATGCCGTAAGTTTTTGTCCAACTG